TATCTATCAAAATAAAATTAATATCAACACTTTCATTTTCTCGCCCTTTATTAATTTTTATCCTAAGCTTGGTAATATATAACTATTTTTCCATCAAAAATTATATATCTATTTATTATTGTCTTTTTTTCCCGCTCCGCCTTTCTGTTAAAACCGACTGAAGTTAGGGTTTAGTGCCGATTTCCGATCCGGAACATCTTCTCTTCTGGTTTTCGGCCCTGAATTTAGGGATTGGGGTCTAGAGTTTCAGCGAAGACAGCAATGATGTACGGAGATCCACAGCAACAGCAGCAGCAAGGTGTTGCTGATTTCCCGAGGGGTCCACCGCCTCCGCCAATGATGCGACAGCCCTCAGCCTCTTCCTCCACTCTCAATCCCGAGTATCACCACCCTGCTCCTCCTTTTGACGGTACAATTCTCATTCTCAACTCGTCTTGTGTCTTGAATGACAATTTGTGTCTCTAATAGTAGTTCTCCTGCGCGGAATGTTTGTTTTCAGCTCATGGAGACAACTTTGGTGGAAAAAGAATGAGAAAACTCACCCAAAGGAGAGCAGTCGACTATACAAGCACGGTTGTGCGATATATGCAGGTAACATTTTTTTTTTTCTTTTTTTGAAGTATGTTTCTAGCATGTTTGTTCCTTCTTCTGTTTTTCGTGGATACACTATGTTAGAGAAGATATTTGTTCTTCACATGTAAATTATAAAGTGAATGTTTCCACAGATTCGTATGTGTCAGAGGGATTCAAGGGACAGGACAGTATTGCAACCTTCCCCAGCAGCAGCTATAGATGTTAGTTAGCTCTTTGTTTTTTTTTTTCCCCCTCAATTTTATTATTGTTTTGACATTGATAGCATATGTAAATGTTTATCTGTTGCTGGTCCTTTGTGCAGATGTTGCCGACATCTGCCTATTCTGATAATGCATCCACAAGTTTTGCTGCAAAATTTGTCCATACGTCTCTAAACAAAAACCGCTGTTCAATTAATCGGGTTTTGGTTAGTTAACATTACTTGGCTTTGCACTGTTAAGGTTGTATTTGGCTGACCGACTTGCATTCTTTTGTTGTTTTATCTTCAATCTTAGTGGACTCCTACTGGTAGGCGTCTCATCACAGGTTCCCAGAGTGGAGAATTTACTTTATGGAATGGACAATCGTTTAATTTTGAGATGATTCTTCAGGTACATCACTTTGGTATTTCTCTTATTTAGTTCGGGATAACTAAAACTAAATAAAGATGAAAGAAAACCTTGTTGACTATTTTCTTACTTCTAACTTTCTTAAATGTCAGGCCCATGATCAAGCCATCAGGTCTATGGTATGGAGTCATAATGACAACTGGATGGTTTCTGGTGATGATGGAGGCTCGATTAAGTACTATTTTTTTCCTAATATGTTCTAGCATAAGAATATTGCTTAAAGGAAGTAATATTTATGCTTTAATATTGATTTGCATTTAAAATTTTAGGTACTGGCAGAACAATATGAATAATGTTAAGGCCAATAAATCTGCTCATAAAGAATCAGTCCGTGACTTGAGGTGTGTAAGTTTTATCTTTTGGTTTTCCTATGAAGTTGGAACACTTACATGCCGAGCATTTTATGATAGAGCCTTTTTTACAGTTTCTGTAGGACAGATTTGAAGTTCTGTTCCTGTTCTGATGATACTACTGTAAAAATATGGGACTTTGCCAGGTGTCAAGAAGAGCGTTCATTAACTGGTAATGTGCTTTGACGACTCATCAAATATAAGTGCAGTTTGACCTTGCCAAGTGCACAAAAATGATCGAATTGTTTACCTAATAGAAGAGTGTTCCTGTTTTTGATGATTGTATGTAATTTGCCCTCATTTAAGCATAGAAAATGGTGAACTATTTACCAAGTGTTATTGTATTACATTCAAATTTGGTGCATGTGAGATAACTTAAGGATATTTCTACACCTCTTTTGAACTCAGACAGGCCATGGTTGGGATGTGAAGAGTGTTGACTGGCACCCTACAAAATCTCTTCTAGTTTCAGGTGTGTATTGAATTTCTTTTCAGGCATCTTTAATGATATATAATTGCAAGTTGTGATGGTCATGCCCGTACTTGTAGTCATTTCATTGCTCTTTCCTTAGGTGGAAAAGACAACCTTGTGAAACTATGGGATGCTAGAACTGGCAGAGAGCTTTGCTCATTGTAAGTATGATATCTTTGGTGGTTGGATCTTTCTTTAGATTAAATTTAAATTATTTTGAGAACTAATGCATGTCTTTTGCAGTCATGGCCACAAAAACACAGTGCTTTGTGTCAAATGGAACCAAAATGGTAATTGGCTGTTGACTGCTTCAAAGGATCAAATCATCAAGGTTGGGACCTTGTTTCTTCCATCAATGCTGTTTCTATTCACTGTGCCTTGAATTACAGTTTCTCTAATGTCCTTTTCTACTTTTTTTTTTTTGATTGCATGGATTTTGAACCCTAAAATTGCAGCTTTACGACATAAGAGCTATGAAAGAGCTTGAATCCTTCCGCGGGCATCGGAAGGATGTGACTGGTTAGTATACTCCCTGGCATGCATTTTTGTCTCCTAACACTGGATATGTATCACTTAAACCTCCTAAGTCCTAACACATAAAGCTTGACTGTGATAAAATCATAAAACAGTCTTCCTTTGTGTCTGGGTTCTAATATATTTCTACTGTTGTAATTGGGATGTGTAAAATCATAGAAAAAAAAAGAAAAATTAAAACTTAGCAGCAGCTTTCCTAACCTAGATCTGCAGAATGTAACTTTATTTTTCAACTCTTCTTATATCTTGACTTTTCATGAGGATGACTCTAGCATTTTGTTTCCAATTTTGTCAGCATTGGCTTGGCACCCGTTCCACGAAGAATACTTTGTTAGTGGGAGCTTTGATGGGTCCATTTTTCATTGGCTTGTCGGGTTAGTTTTTCTGGACAACTCTTCATCCATGTTGTAAAAATATGTTAGGTGCCTGGCTTTCTGCGTTACAGACATCTAATTTGATTCCTCTTTCATGTTAAATGGTATGTTTTTGTGTGCATATTTGGGAGTAATCTCAAGTAGGTTTCTTATTACCATTAATATTTTTTCTGATGTACAGGCATGAAACTCCTCAGGTTGAAATTCAAAATGCACATGACAATAGTGTGTGGAATATAGCCTGGCACCCAATTGGATACCTTCTTTGCAGGTGACCTTAGTTTTGTAACGTATAATTTCTGTGGTGAATTTGCCCTGAATTTATTTGTTAGCTACACCTCATTTGACTTAACTAGATATCTGTGTCCATCCCCCTTAAGTTATTTGTAAAACAATCAAGTATGTATCGTCCTTTGTGATTAAGGTTCGTTCTTTTGTTGCTTCTTGTTAGGCTAGGGTCTTTTTTTGATGCAATTGTTTTGCTGTTATCTACTTGCTGTGCATTGAATATGTGGATATTGTTTGCTTGTCTTGGCTAAGCATAATACTAGTAGACTTTCATGCTTTTATCAAGTTGCAAATATTTTTCAGACCCCACAGTTACTAAACAATTGTTTTTTGATGCAATTGTTTTTTTGATTCTATATGTGGATATTGAATTAAGGTTTGTTCTTTTGCTGCTTCTTGTTAGGCTAGGGTCCTTTTTGGATGCAATTGTTTTGCTTTTATGTACTTGTTGTGGATTGAATATGTGGATATTGTTGCATGTCTTGGCTAAGCATAATACTTGTAGACTTTTATGCCTTTATTAAGTTGCAAATATTTGTCAGGCCCCACAGTTATTAAACCTGGGTACAACCTTATTATGCAGCGGAAGCAATGACCACACAACAAAGTTTTGGTGCAGAAATAGACCAGGAGATACTGCTCGTGATAAATTCAGCATGGGTCAAAACCAAGGTTTGTTACTTTTGCATATGTTATTGATGCCTTCCACTTCTTCCCTGAAATCCAAACAAAGCTTCCCCCCTAAAAAAAAAAAAAGAAAGAAAGAAAGAAGAATTTAGAGCTGTCTTGTCCTTTTCCTGGTGATCTAAATTTAGCATGTAAGTTTCTGACTAATTGGAACAGAATGCTTCCATAAGTGGTATCTCGTGATTTATTAGAGAACTTGTTATTGTTCTATTGTTCTATGAATCTGCTTTAGTATTTTTCAGATTGAATGTGCTTTTTGAATTGAATTATAAAAGTCTGAAATTACTTTGAAGAATTTGATTGGTCAAATGTTGTAACCTCTACCAGGTTATGGTGACCAAAACCCTACACTAGCTGGTCGCCTGCCTGGTAATTTTGCAGCTCCTGAAACTCCAACAACCCCTGGGCCATTTGCTCCTGGATTATCTCGTAATGAGGGTACCATCCCAGGTGTTGGAGTTCCAATGCCATTGTCTATTCCATCTATAGATGCATCAGGTCAGGGTGATCAGAAGCAGCCTCTCTCAGGTTCCATGCCACTTGGAGCCCCTCCACTTCCTCCTGGTCCACATCCCTCTCTTCTTGCCAATCAGCAGCAAGGATATCAACAAAATCCTCAGCAGATGCCACAACAGCAACACCAGGCACTCCCACAACAAATGCCCCCTTTGCCTATGGCACCTCCAAATATGCCACAGCTACAGCCCCCATCTCACATACCCTTGCTTCCACATCTTCATTTATCTCGCCCTCCACCACAAATGCCTCCACTTGCTATGCCTTCAGCACCATCCTCAATGCCTGGATCATTGCCTCCACCTTCATCAATGCCTACTTCTCATCCGGTGCCAATGCCTGGTCCAATGGTATATTTTTCATGGCTCATCCTTTTCTTCTCTTTGCATCTTGAGTTTTGAAGTCAGTGGTTCTTATCCTTTAATTTGAACCCTTCTTAGAATGATATAAAATTTCTTTCTAAATTTTAGGGTATGCAAGGAGGTTCAATGAATCAGATGGGTCCTCCAATGCCACAGGGCCATTTTATGGGCTTGAACCCAAGGCAGGGTGCTCCTCCAGGTGGAGGTTTTCCAAATAGTTTGCCAAATATGCAGGGTCCAACGAATGCAGGTGGGGGTCAAATGTATCAACAAGGTGGTGCTTTCAATAGGGGACAGCCTGGACAGATGCCAATGATGCCAGGATTTAATCCTTACCAGGTAAATTATAGAATGGTGTTTTTAGTGCGCTGCTGTATCTCTATCGAGTCTTGTAGTTGAAGTGTTTGTTTTACCATAGAAGAAGACTAATGTGCTATGCTTCTGCTTCTTGCAGTCTGGTGGTCAATCTGGTTTGCCACCACCACCACCAGGACCACCACCGCATGGCCAAACGCCTCAGTAGATCATCTCTGTACCATGTAGGGATGTTTTGTCATCGAAAAGTTTTCTTTATCAAATATGCTGTAATATATTATGAATCCTTGTCCACTTGGTTTCTTCATTTTCCTTTTTAAATGTCTGAGACAGCAGAAAATATTTTTTATTTATAAATTTTGCAATGAGTTCTTACTTTTGATCGGATTAATCTTTTTACCAACAGATATGTTTCGGCAATTATGAGTTAAATTCTTTTAAATAGTAAACAGGCCATGATATCAATTGTTAAGAAAACAATCATAGATTTCAATTTGCTTCCCTCATTCCATAGCAGTTCGTCTGGCGCGCAATTGCCTCTTTTGGAACGCTAAACTTTTACTATTTCTGAGAGCATTTTTTTGAAAATAATATTACTCCAGGAAGTGAACGGAGTACCGTGGGAGTTCAATATTTAAGGTGGTAAGTACGGATATTTAAGATGGATGGAGTTTCTGGAAAAAAAAAAAATTCATTGAGTTTATTTTCTTGAGGGTTTTTTTACTCGCATATTAAAAATATAATAAATATATTTTATTATAGTAAATATATTTTTAATAATAAATTTATGTTTAAAAAATAAAAATAAAAAATTTAATTTATTAATTATTTAATTAGATTTATTTATTTAAGCAATAATATTAAAATTAGTAATATTAATTTTTACATTATATATATGATAAAAAAAATATCATTAATTTATACTATAAAGACACAAAAAAAAATTAATATTTTTATATCTAAATATCTTTTTTTTTTTAATACTTTTCTCATATATTAAGAATTTATTAACAACTTATACTTTTACCCAATGTACTCTTAATTAATTGACAAAAATAGTAGTTAGAAAAGTATCAATTAAAATTAATTCCCATAGAAAACCCTGTCAATTGAAAAAATAGAAACCCATGGACCCATTAAATAAAAGCCCCCTGTTTCCAGATCCACTTGTGCGTCGGTCTTACCCAATCCAATCGATCATCGATGTCATTAAAAAACCTTAGGCCGCGAAGCACTATAAACCACACTCCCATAATCCCATTCAACGACCTTCGTCCCCAATTCCAAATCCAGTTGCATCACGCAAACGGAAACGGAGACGTCGGCCAAATCAATGAACAAATTCAGCACCACTAGTATTCTTCAGCGTTAGATTCGTTGCTCCCATGGACGACAGCGTACCTGATCACAAGCTCTGCGGCTACCTCTGCGCCATTCTCTCCGTCCCCGAACCTATCCCTTCCGGCACTCCCTGCCACCTCCTCACCAACGGCCCAGCAATCGGCTTCAAGTCTCAAACTGGCGTCATCCTCTCCCCGCTTCCAGAAGGTGACGTTTCGCTGTCTCCTGATTACAATGCGGAGAATTCTACACCAGGTTCGATCCGCGGCAGGAAGGCGCCGCGGAAGAAAATGGCTAAAGGCGGGAAGAAGGGAGGTAAAACGAGGAGGAAGGTTGGGATGGTGAACGGAAGCCTGAGCGTGGTGCGCCAGATTCACGCTCTTGTGGCGCACAAGTGCGTGAAGGTCCTTGCACGCGTTCTTCGAGTTGAGAGCGCTGGTAATGGAGAGACTCGGGCGGTGTTGTTGGTAGATGTCTACGTGCCGATCGAGTTGTGGTCGGGTTGGCAGTTCCCGAGGTCTGGATCCGTTTCTGGTGCGTTTTTCAGGCACTTGAGGTACGAATTTAATTGTAATATTTAGGATGTAGAGTTATTTCTGAGTTTTGATGATAATTTAAGTAGTTCTGACTCTGAGGAAGGTTGTAGGAATTCAGAACAAAACTTGTTAGAATTTGGTCTGTCTTTAAAGGAAGCTGCCTTTTCCTGGAATCTAATAGGAAATACACATACCAGCAGCAGCCTAATTCCATGCAACTATCAATTTTCCATCAATTTTTTTTTAATTAAATTCCCTATATTTCTAAAGTAGTTCATTTTTGTAGCTGTGATTGGGGAAAGAGAAGTTCAATGCTTGTTAATAGTGGAGAAATGGATAAAGAAGCTCATGGAAGCAGTATGGACGCATGGAATCTTTCCGATTGTCATGTTCTTGGATGTAAGTTGCATTATTATGGCTCTGACTCTTCAAATAGAAGGCTATTTGAGCTTCATGAAATTTTTAAGGGCTTACCTAGTGTAACAAATAATGGAAGGGCTGATTCGTCTAGAGTGCAACCAGCTGTCAACACTTTTTTGACTGGAATCTGGGACTTAGCTGATGACATACTGATTAATATTCTAACTGGACTCTCCCCAATTGATCTTACCAGGATGGCAGCAACCTGTCGCCATTTACGGTCCTTGGCTGCATTGGTTATGCCATGTATAAAGCTTAAACTGTTTCCTCATCAGAAAGTAGCGGTTGAGTGGATGTTAAAACGTGAGAGGAATACAGAGATTTTGATTCATCCATTGTACACGGAGTTTACAACGGAAGATGGGTTTTCCCTTTTTGTGAATGGTGTTTCGGGGCATATTGTTACAGGGAGTGCTCCTACTATTAGAGATTTTCGTGGGGGAATGTTTTGTGATGAACCCGGCTTAGGTAAAACTATAACTGCATTATCACTTATTCTGAAGACACAAGGAACAATGGCTGATCCGCCAGAGGGAGTTCAAGTAACCTGGTGTATGCATAATGACATGAGATGTGGATATTATGATGTGTTCACCAATGATAAAATGATGCTGGGAAAGTTTCGTCGGAGTCCATCATCTTTGGGTTGGTTCTCTCCCTTAGATGATGTAAACCTCTCTCCACCTAAGAGGGCCAGGTTGATTGATCCAGATGAGAGAAGTGCAGAATTTAATAAATCCTCTGGTAATGGTATGAAAACACTGTCTACCCCTTGCTCCAAGCCACCAACACTTCAGCACTCAAGGAACTTGATTCAAATCAGAAAAAATCTTCTTTATTCGTACAATGACTCATCTGATTTTTGTAAAGAAAGAAAGTCAGAAAGAAACAAAATTGTGAGGAATGGCTCAAGAGATGTCTCTGGCAAAAAGCAAGTTGGTTTATCCTGTAGCGTGGCCAAGAGGGCTGGAAGGGCTACTGCTGGTAGTATGTGCAATGACAACTGGGTCCAGTGTGATGCTTGTCACAAGTGGAGGAAGGTTTCAGACACTACTAGTCTAGCTGGTTCTAAAGCAGCATGGTTTTGTAGTATGAACATTAATCCTGCATATCAGAGATGTACTGATCCAGAGGAGGCTTGGGATAATATTGAGGCTGTAACAGACCTACCAGGATTTTACTCCAAAGGAACTCCCGGAGGAAAGGAGGAAAATGTTTCATTTTTTGTCACTGTTCTCAAGGAACACTATGCAGCAATAAATTCCAGATCACTCAAAGCCTTAGTTTGGCTGGCTCAACTTTCCCCAGAGAGGCTTTCGCAAATGGAAACTGTTGGTTTGCTGAGTCCAGTCTTAGGTTGTTTTGTTGATGAAGATGCCCTTGAATTCCAGAAGATATTTCAAGCTTTTGGTCTTGTAAAGAGAGTGGAAAAGGGTGTTAGTAGGTGGTATTACCCATCAACTCTTCATAACTTGGCTTTTGATCTGGCTGCTCTAAGAATTGCTCTTTATGAGCCGTTAGATTCTGTCAGGTTATATTTATCACGAGCAACTTTAATTGTTGTTCCAGCAAACTTGGTTGACCACTGGAAAACTCAAATCCAGAAACATGTGAGACCTGGTCAGCTGCGGCTTTATGTATGGGTTGATCATAGAAGGCCTCCTGTTCACAGCCTGGCTTGGGATTACGACATTGTTATCACTACCTTCAACCGTTTGAGTGTAGAGTGGGGCCCCCATAAGAAGAGTGCACTGATGCAAGTGCATTGGCTTAGGGTCATGTTAGATGAAGGGCACACCCTTGGCTCCAGCTTTAGTTTGACAAATAAGTTGCAGATGGCTATTTCATTGGTGGCTTCAAATCGTTGGTTATTAACAGGAACACCAACTCCTAACACACCCAACAGTCAACTGTCACATCTTCAACCACTGCTTAAGTTCCTTCATGAGGAAGCTTATGGGCAAAATCATAAATCATGGGAAGCTGGTATTCTTAGACCATTTGAGGCAGAGATGGAAGAGGGTCGTTCACGTTTGTTGCAGTTGCTCCATAGATGCATGATTAGTGCAAGAAAGATAGATTTGCAGACAATACCTCCATGCATAAAAAAAGTTACATTTCTCAATTTCACCAAAGAGCATGCGAAAAGTTATAATGAACTGGTAGTTACAGTGAGGCGCAATATACTAATGGCTGACTGGAATGATCCTTCACATGTTGAAAGTTTGCTGAACCCAAAGCAGTGGAAGTTTCGAAGCACAACAATTAGAAATGTCAGGCTATCTTGCTGTGTGGCTGGCCATATAAAAGTAGCGGAAGCTGGCGAAGATATTCAAGAAACAATGGATATGTTAGCTGGAAATGGTCTGGATCCTGCTTCAGAAGAGTATGCTTTTATAAAATATAACATCCTTTATGGTGGTAACTGCCTCAGGTAATAATTGGCTATTCTTCTTCTTCTTTATGCATGTGGGCTGCAGCTTCTGTATGAGTATTCAGATCTTAGATTGATCCCTTTTTTTTTTCATGGGTACATTTTGCTGTGTAGATGCAACGAATGGTGTCGACTACCAATCATTACACCATGTAGGCATCTCTTGTGCCTTGATTGTGTTGCTTTGGATAGTGAAATGTGTACTTTTCCTGGATGTGGTAATTTATATGAGATGCAGACTCCTGAAACATTAGCCAGGCCTGAAAATCCAAACCCAAAGTGGCCTGTTCCGAAGGATCTTATTGAATTACAACCTTCATATAAACAGGTAGGTTTTGCTCTTTATTAAACATTTTTATTGTCCTTCTTTTATTCAAGTGGCACTACAAATGCCTACTCTTTTGGTGCTTAGGATAACTGGAATCCTGATTGGCAATCGACATCAAGCAGTAAAGTTAGTTATCTTATAGAGAGGTTAAAAGCCTTGCAGGAGGCTAATAGCAAGGTTCTGTGCTCAATGGTTGAAGACAATGAAGCCACACACTTTGATAAGTTACTTTGTCCCTCTCAAAGGAATGATACAAGCTTGGTTTTGCTGCAAAACTGCCCTGGAATGGGCAGTGAATCTAACAATACACTTCCAGAGAAAGTTATAATATTTTCTCAATTTCTTGAACATATACATGTTATTGAACAGCAGGTAGCTATAGAACTAGTTATGTTCTGTCTCTGTTACTTTTTAATTGCCTAAGAGATTGATAATTTACTCATTCTTTTGGGCAGTTGACATTTGCTGGTGTAAAGTTTGCTGGAATGTATAGTCCAATGCATTCTAGCAACAAGGTACATGTTTTCTGTTAGCTTTTCTCCCATAATTTCTGTTTTTTTCATGTAACACTTAAAGTATTTCTCTTCACTTCTTCAGATGAAGTCCCTTGCTATGTTCCAGCATGATGTTAACTGCTTGGCTCTTTTGATGGATGGAACTGCTGCATTGGGCCTTGATTTGAGCTTTGTGACTCATGTCTTTTTAATGGAGCCCATCTGGGATAGAAGGTAATTCTATTTGAGTCAATGCCCTTGTTTTTTTTTTTGAACTTTTTTGGGTTTTGTTCTCACTTGAAGAAAGATCATCAGCACCTGGTTCTAGAATTGTTCATTATGATATGTAGTTAGAGAGCTTTTACCTGGACGAAGTTTTGTTAGTAGGTGCCATGAATTTACATGGGTTACAATATGCACTTCTTTTCTCACTGATGGCATTTACCTATTTTTTGATTGACACAATCATTATCAGTATGGAGGAACAAGTCATTAGCCGAGCTCATCGGATGGGTGCCACTCGTCCGATTCATGTCGAGACTCTAGCAATGCATGGCACAATTGAAGAGCAAATGTTGCAATTCTTACAAGTATGCTCTTCCTTTTCTTCTTCTTCTTCTTCTTCTTCTTCCCCTTTTTTTCTTTTTTTATTTAAATATCTTTGCCTAGCATCATATTACAACGATTCTGAACGATCCTCTACTTCTGCATACAATAAAATTTTATCGGTTATATTCACATATACTTAGCTAACAATATCCTGGATTCACTCTTTCACTCTAGGATGCGGATGCATGTAGAAAACTTTTGAAAGAGGAGTCTCAAAATCCTGATCGTGAAGGAGCACGAATTTGTCGGACATTACATGATTTTGCTGAGAACAATTATTTATCTCGGCTTAGCTTTGTGCGGACCAATAATTCTAAAGCATAAAGGTTTGTGCTTTTTTTATTATTGCTGAAAGTTTCACTTATTGATATCTCTTTTACCAAATATGGTAATTATTTCCCTTGTTCTTTATTGATTCAAATTGTTGTAAAATGAAATAATTTAGGAACTCGACTATGCAGACCTGTCATTCTCACATCACAGCATCCTGCATCCTCTAAAGATGCATTACCATGTTTCAGAGATTGCTCTAATTGTGATTAATGTCCAATGCTTTTCTTCGAAACGGTTTTTGGAAACTTTAACCGGTCTCTTGTAAAATTTAGTTGTCTTTAAGCTGCTCAAAAGTTACTTTAAAAATGAATTTTTGAATTCTTATTCAATAACTTTTTAAGTTTAGAAGAGAAGAATTTGTTCTTAAAGTAGGTTTTTTTTAAAGTTTTTTAGACACCCTCTTACGTTTCATTTGAGATTGTTCTACTACAGTATTTTTTCACACACTACATCACCTTATAAAAGTATTAATTCAATATAATTAATTAATTTTAATCAATATTTTATATAATTTAATAATTGTATTAATGGTTAATACTCTTTTCAAAATAATTATCAAATAATAACATAATTTTTCTTAATAAAATATTAAAAATATCACAGTTACAATATCTATGAGTAATATTAAACACAAGTTTAATTTGACTTATGTTTTTATATAGAAAACAAAAAATGAATAACAATTGAAAAAACAATGATCAAGTAAAACTAATCAACAATAAATTTTTTTTAAAAAAGTATTTTTAATTTTCATTTGTTTATTATATAAAAACACCAAGCTAAATTACATCTAACAATTAAACTCGGTATGCGGGGGAGTACGAGCATGCCTATGAAGTTGGGCCCAAATAGTTTAGTGGGTAGCTCTGGGTTGAAGCTTTTATTTGAGCAACACATAGGTCCAACCAACAAAAATAAAGCCCAAAGAAGAGTGCTCTAAGAAGCCCAATAGCTACTCTCTAAAAGTGGTTCTAGCTTTTACACATGCGAGATTTTCTTGTTGGTTTTGGTTTTCTGAATTAATATGGGATAACTTTTTTTAATAAAAAAATTTGTATTATATAATATGAGACAATTCTCTTCTATATATTAACTTTTCCCATCATATGTTATATGGTTTAAATTTAAGATTTTTTATTTTTTTATTAAAATAATTATCACTAAATTATTTATGTTATTGACAATCTAATAATTTTTTTGTATCATAAATATATAAAAACTTACAGGATTCATATAAAAAACCATGAATTTTTTCTGTGATGGAAAAAATAGCTATTACAATGTTAAATAGCCCCCCTTTTTTTTGCCATAATTAAATAGCCCAATTAATACTCTTGATTCGCATACACTAACAAATGGCTCATATCTCAAGTCACAAGATAAAAAAATTATTTAAAAAAATCCTTTTATTATTGATATAAGTCACAACTGGAGTGGCTTTCTCCTTTTCATTTACAATTAACATAGCCATAAATGAACAAAATCATGTGTCAAGTTTATTACTATTATTTGGAATTGGATAACTTTGCGTGCTTACTTATTACATGAACTGATGAACAGGATTTGTTGAGTTTGGATTTTAGTGGGGTGAATGACACAAGCTCGTTGACGTTGTGTTAAACTACTTGAGGTAGTTATTTGACGACGCCAGCAGGCTCTTTACTGTCAACGTGAATGTAAACAAGATTGCAGCAGAAATCCTCGAGCCCATACGTACGTTGATCCATGACAACAGAGCTCACCCGTGGATTCTCCTTCCTAATTATTGCTTTGGCTTCTGGCCATTTCTTTCCACTCAATTAAGACCATCAATAGCAATGATATATTAGTTTTACGTAAAAGAAATTTAATTTTTTTAAAATAAAATTTTAATTTTAAATTTTATAAATAAAAAAAAAGGATTGGGAGAGTTTATTTTTTTTATAAAATTTAATGTGATTCGATTTTAAATTAATTTAGATTCAATATAATTATTTAATATCAAAAATTAATATAAAAAATTAAAGTCATG